TATACAGTGAAATATGACTCAGCCATAAAAAAAAGAAATCTCCCCATCTACAGCAACATGGGTGGACCTAGAGGGTATTGCACTGAGTGAAATAAGACAGACAAATGCCGTATGATTTCACTTATATGTGAAATCTAAAAAACAAATGAATAAGCATACCATAAACAGGCTGATAGAGAACTTTTTGATGGCTGCCAGATGGGAGGAGGTTGGGGGGAATGAGTGGAAAAGGTGATGAGATTAAGAAGTACAAGTTGGTAGTTACAGAACAGTCATGGGGATGTGTAAAGTACAGCATAGGGAATATAGTCAGTAATATTGTAATAACTATGTATGGNCTTTTTAGCTGTCTCTTATACACATCTAGATGTGTATAAGAGACAGGCATAGGGAATATAGTCAGTAATATTGTAATAACTATGTATGGTGTTAGATGGATACTAGATTTATGTAGTGATCACTTCATAAGTTATATAAATCTCTAATCACTGGGTTGTGCATCTGAAACTAATATAATATTGTACATCAACTGTAATTGAAAAATTAAAAATATTTATTAAAAAAGAACACTTAATTATAAGACCTTTTTATGTAAATTTTTGATTTTTCAAGTTCTTATGTAAAAGCTGTTACTTAGACAATTTGGTATTTTTAGACATTCATCAGATTGTCATTATTTGAAAATCAGTCCTCTTCAAGAAATAGATGACTAATGTTAACATCATCATTATCAGGAAATAGATCGGCATCTGTGTGATATTTTTTAGATGTATTAAAATTCGTTTTACAGATTTGGTTTTTATAGCACATCTTAGCTACTTACTGTCTTATAGAGGAAAAGATTCTCATTATTCTGGCATTGTGGAGCTAGCTACGTGATTCTAGAGAAGTGTTGAGTAGGAAGACTTGACTAGCTAGAAGTAAAACATAGGCTTAAGAATCTAATTAGCCTTTTTGAAATTTAGGTTTGTGTTGGTAGGAGAAGAGTGGTATAAATGATGAAACAAAGCTGGGAAATACTCTTTTTCTAAATTATTAATTTTGATATATTATACATTATTTAAACTGCTTTTTCACCCTGAACATATCTTTCTTCTTGGAAATAACAGAAATTCTGTGTAATGATGTATTTTGTGATATTTGGATTTTGGCTTTGTTTTAGTTCTTAGAGAGGTGTTGAGTTAAAAGTAATTTAGTGCCCTGAGACTCACCATCTTAGGTTTTTGTCATGCAGATTTTTCTTTTATAGGAATATAAACTACTGATAACATGATAAAAAGACTCCTATATTATTGACTACTGATTGATCTGTATATGGCTCTGGATGCTACAAAAAATATATTTGTTGCTCTCCATGGCTGCTTTTTTCCATTACATTTTACAAAGTAGATCATTTGTTAGGTAGTTTTGTATTATTTCTGAAGGACAGTGGTGACTAAAATCTTATCAGGCTGTTATAGGCGGTTGAATTCTAACCTAGCTCCTTTGATGAAATAAGCACTTTGTTAGTTTTATCTTTTTAAATTTATTTCACCAATGTGCATTAATATCTTAGGTGCTATAATTTTCTAAAGCAGTAGGTTACTCCTACTTTGAATGTGATTGCAGAGTCAGCTTTCCTACTCCATTCTACCTAAAAAAGATGACAGAGAAACATTCAGGCATGCAGAAGTTTCCTCCTAAAGGTGGAGGTGAAGACTGTGTGGTTTTTGTTTATTCGTTTTAGGAATACTTCCCAGTTTATATCTTACTGAATAAAAATATTGTACTTATTTATTCTTATTAAAAGTTTGCTGAGGATTTGCAGCATTTTTCTCATGTGTTATCAATGAAATGGACATGTGAAACAAAAAAGGACTTTTCAAGTCCCTCTTTAATCTGGTTTCTGTTTACCTTTTTGTTTCTATTCATCTGGTCATACATTACATCTACTGTTTCTCTGACTGACTATGTTTCTGGTACAAGTGGCCAGCTTCATCAGGGTTACTTTCTAGATGTCTTCCCCCCTCCCCCCTCCCCAATAGCTTCCTCCACTGAACTCCAGTTTTTGTTGTAGATAGATTAATGTTTAACTACATTGTACTATCTCAACCTTTCTCAGTCAGGGTTATTCGTCAGAACCAAAGAAGAATGAAAATTATTTGAGTAACTATTTTCTTAACTTTCTTAAGGATATAATAATTACTATCATTCTATTTGTATAAGATAAAAGTAATTTCATTACAGACAAAGAATAATTTAGAGTAGTGGTTCTCAAAGTGTACTCTTGGACCCAGACCCTTTCAGAGGTCTGAAAGGTCAAAATTATTTTCTTAACAATTCTAAGACGTTGTTTGCTTTTTTGGTTCCTAGTCTTTACCAAGTGAATTTTGGAGTTTTCCAGAGACTACATGGTATATGTTAGAATAGACTGAATACAGAAGCAGATATGAGAATCTAGTTATCTTCTGTTAAACACAATGTTAAAGATATTTGCAAAGATGTAAAACAGTGCTGTTCTTGCCATTTTTTGTTTTGGAAAATATAGTTTTCATTAAAATATATTATCTATGCTAACATGTAATGGGTTTATTTTGTTTGTAATTAATAAATCAGTCAGCCCACACTTTGCAGAGTTCCAGTATGCACTAATTTCAGTTACCACAATTAAATAATACCAGTTTCACATCATGGTTCCAATGGGAATATTATTGTATGTTAACTGTGAGTAATTGCATAAAATAAAATTTTGCTGCTAGTCTGTAGATCCCTATGTAAATTACAAATACAGGTCTTGAACAGTGACCAGTCACATCAGTTCTTTCAAAGTCTGTCTAGGACTAGTCACTATGCACCTCTTATTAGTTTATGCACAGAAATCAAAGCCTGTAGCTGTGTTGCCTTCTTGTCTCTTGGTGGTAAACCCACATGTTGCTTTATGAAAATAAATTATTGAGAGTGGTTGGCCAACAAAGATGAAAATATGGCAAAGAAATGGAAAGTGATAACGCTAGAAGTGAAATTTGAATTAGACACAAATGGAGTTATGGAAGAAATAGCTGGGAATGTTGACACTGCTGCTGTTCAAGAGAATTTAGATATGCAGCCAGAGAAACTTATTAAAGGCAAACATATAGATATAAAGGAGTAAAGTGGTTGTGACAAAAGGGTGAAGATGTCCCAGAGGAAGAGACATTACAAACCACTTCACAATATAGGGCCTCTGAGAGAGTGTCACAGCTTTGACAGAGCAAAGGATAAAATGTTGGAAACTGATTTAAACTTAGAAGGGCATATGACAATTTGCTAAGGTATAGGAAACATGCTCATTCCGTATTTTAAGTTGTACAATGAGAAGAAGACAAGCACTGTTCAAACTGCTTTTTATTAGTTTCAGGTGTACAGCACAGTGTTCAAACTGCTCTTGATAAGTCTTTTTCAAAGTAAAACTTTCTCAGTGTTTCTAATGTTTTAAATTACAGTGCACTAAATAAATGTTTTACTATTTTTTCATTTCCCTATACATTATTACTGGCAGTGAGAGCGTTAAGGTTTCAACAAAAATTTGTAAAGGTCAAAGACAATTGTAATTCTTTCCATTAATTATTAAGATCACTCTGCATGGTTTCAGCTTGCATAGTCATTTTTATGGTTCTGCCCTACTGTGCAAATTGAGGGCTGCCTGAATTTAAAATTTGTCTCAGTTTAATTTCTAATATATAAAATATAATTTCTAATGGATGTACATATAAACAAATCTCTTTATATTTCCCTTTATACTTGTCTTCTATATTTTATGTCCTGATTAAATAGCATCACCAACAAACCTAAAACCGAAGAAATAATTTGTATTACTTTATCTTCCTCATAGTTTACATTTCTCATTATTTAACAGCCCTCATAGTTATTCGCTTCTCTTTACACCTCCCCCCCCCCC